CGTTCGTCCCGGCGGCTGTGATTGGGTCGTGGGGGGGGAGGGGGACGCGGCTGAGGTTCGGGCCAGGAGGGCGGGCGGCGGGTAGGCAGCAATAGTTGGTGAGGGGGACGGGAAGGCTGGCTGGCTCTGGAAGGAGCGCCTCTCGGCCGCTCCGCCTTTCGCGCCGTGCCCCGTCCTGCCTGCTTAAAGGTGGCGGTTCCCGTAGGCCTGGCCTGGCCGCTGGTCCTCTCCTAGCGCCGCCCCCACCTGGCATTTCAGGAGAGGTCGGGTTGTGCCTGCCTTGGCTCGCAGAGACTCTCTGCGAGCGGAGGCCTTGCTGGCTGTTTCCTTGGCTCTAATTGGTACTTTCTTGGCTCCCAACATTTCTCTTGTTTTGTAACCTGATCGGAAAGGCTAAAGGATGGCGCGGTGAGCGGCATCCCGACTAGCCAGGCCGCGGTCGGCGTCCGCGTAGAGACAGTAGCTTGTGACCAGACTGTAAGCGCTGCCGGCCGTTGACCCCTTAACGGCTCATTTTAAAACTCAGGCGCCTGCCTTATGGTTCCCCTAAACTCCCTCTTCTCTTCAAATGTTCTCTACACATTACCGCTCTCTCCTGCCCCGTCCTTTCCTATGCAGTCAAATAAAATACTTAGCACTAGGCAAAAAAAAGTTCGGTGTGGTCTTAAATATTGAATTATGAATTACAATCCAAGTACTTATTTAGGGGGAAAATGCAGAAGAAACCTTGTTAATTAATTTCTAAAAGACACTCTTCCTAGCATGTCTTTAAAAAAAAGAAACGTTCAATGCAACCTGAGATTCTGATATGCTGTCTCACTTTCTAGAGCAGTTTCAAAACGTGAAATATTTCCCATTCACAAAATTTCCCATAAGTGAAATATTCACTTATATTTTAATAAGTCAGAGGTAATTAACACTTATTAATTCTTGTATAAATAGATAGCTAAAAATAATTTAATGTGAGATATTATCTGGATTCTGTAACTTGCATAGTGCTTACTGTGCTATGGCAGTATTAATAATCAGTTCCTGCTTCGTTTCAAGATATTCTGTTGTAGTTTTAGATGGTTAATAAAGTTTACAATATCTAAGATTTTGTTCAGTATTACTTACTAATCAGCCTCTCAACCTAAACTCACAGGCTGGTTTGGGGTAAACAGTGTTTTTTTTTTTTCCTTGTAAGTAACAAGAAAATAAAACTTGGAAATTCTGATCAATTATCAAAGTGATTCAGTCATCATTATAAACAGCCTCTTGTATTAAAATCACTCAATTAGGATTTCACTGGTTATAGACATAGATTTATATTGACATGACTAGATGGTCTCCCTGGCCCTGCAGTTACTTACTTTGTAGGAAAGTGATTTACTTTTTTTCTCTTGATTCTTAATACATTATATATGGTAAGAAAATGTCTGCAACTTACTTAGAAGGCTTAGAAATGGACAAATCAGCTTATGTCATACTATTTCAGGAATACTGTTTGATCCCAACAGCTGTTATATGGTAGTTTGGAGATTTAGTTCAGATATATTTTTGAAGTAAATTAATATTTCTATTGAATTCTGTTGAAGCTGATACAAAGTACTTTGTAATTCTCTTTTCTCAATTCCATCACCCCGGCTGAGATAGTAGTAATAGTAGAGATTAATGAGTCTCACTCAAATTAGCTTGCTGCCATCAATATTATCTGATAAATTCTTTGTATGCTGCATTGAAGGATAAGCAGTTGTAGATTACTGAAAAAGAAGCTGCTGCATGAAAGGGAATTCCCTGCTTCTCTGAAAAATTTAATTTCATTATGAAGTATTTAGATTGTCCAGTTGGGCATAGTTGCAAATATGAACTATTAAAATTGTCACCAGGAGCTCTTAGGATGGCATCAGGGCAGTTATTAATACAGTTACAATTTAGCTTGTACATGGAATTTTCCATTTTCACTGTAGCTTTCCTACAGTATAGCTACCCCTTCTCTAGGATTTCAGTAAATAATTTTTGGGAGACAAAGAGTCACAAAGTAGGTGTGGCTATATTGGTCATGTAGGCAAGAATGACGTTTGGGGAGAGAATTCTCTCTTCCATTTGCTTTGAGTACACGTGTTTAAAATTTTCCTTGCATTATATTTTTGAAAAGCATTCTAAGTAAACTCTTAATGACATTTACACATGGTAATATATGTGATTTTCTGAACTTCCATATAGAAAATATGAAATATATGAGTCATATGTGGTATAAGTGGACCATTTATCCTCAGATAAATAGTATTCAAGTCTGAAAATCCACCTTTATGGAACACTTTCCCCCAAGTGTTTAGCACTGTAATGTTGACTGCTCAGCATTAAGTCAGCATTCACAACTATATCTGATGTTTATATGAATTACATTCTGGTATGGGGGCGGGCCCTCCATGCAATGTAGATTACAATTCTTAAAATCCATTGCCATGGTAGTTGGAACAGATGAGAGTTAAAATCCAAACTGTCAGGTTACTCATCTATTATAGAGTACAAAGAGGTAGCAGTGATATAATTGATGTTAATAATGACTTCTGTATTCACTTATTTAGAACCCTTGGATCAATACTTGGTAGTTGACAGTATTTTAGTAATTTGTATAGGAAATAGGTGGAAAGTCAGAAGAGTGTCTAGAGTATGTCTTTACATACAATGACTTGATGTAAATTTTGTTCAATATAGCATTGTCTCTTAAGCGGCATTCTACTATTATAGATCTCATACATTCCTTGTTCAAAAGTAGATAATTGATCATTATAATTTACTCTGGAAGAACTTTCTATGTGTGGTTTCTAGAAATATTAAAAGAATCTGTTGTAGCATTTTTTCTTCATATGAAATACGTCTGTGTAGAAATGTGAATCTACATTTTAATGCCTACCCAAATGTGAGGATTTAGTGGTGTTTTACACATTTGATTTACTGATTTGAGATCTTTGATTTTATACATGTAATTGTTTGAATTAATTGTTACTAAATGCAGAAATGTAGAACCTGGTGTCCTCCAAATTCTTTTGACCACAAGTCTTAAGCAGTGATAGATGATAAGGGATTATTAAT